CGGCCGAAAGCGTTCTTACAACATTACTCTACCCAAGAGAATTACCCACAATAAACGTGTATATGAGCACTCTGCAAGGATGGAAAGAAAAACCAAACAGTGGCTAGAGTATCTAGTCGTTCCTGATTCTGCTCATTTAACAGCCGGTAAAGAACGGTATACAGGGGCTTTTGTTCTAGAATCGATCCCGTGCAAAGAACAAGTACTGCGCCCTCACCGAAGTATGTGGCTGATCGGTAGCGGCGCCTACAGTTGGAATCATCTGGGCAATAGAAGTTTTGTTCACTATTCTAACCCCCTTGATGTGGCTTGGTGGAATGAGATACCCGGAATTCCAGATATGGAAGTAACCCTTAGGGGAAGACAGGATATAGACTAACGACTGTAGGTTAGTTGGATCTCGGCATTCCAGTAAAATGGCCAAGCAAAGGGTCGGCACGCAATATGTTCTGTCAATAGCGTAGACATCTTTTGTGCTCAAAAGCTGACTTGATGAATGGTCACGACGAGGTTACTTCAGATACCCGGTGTTGCCGGGAAATGTAACATTCCAACCAAGGCGCCATACTTCCGAAGCAACAGACAGTCACATCAACGTAGCACATCCTCATGTTATGAATTCTTCAAACGAGGGTCTCCCCGTAGCATTCTATCACGTTGCACATGGTCTTCTCCTCTAGCGTCGGGACGATTAGTGGCCCAGTGAAGAACATGCTGATGGCCATAGGTGAATATGTAGTTATCATTGGGTAATATCATAAATGATGGAAACCCTTATTGACTGATTTAAGTGATTTGCTCACAAACGTCGTGACTAACCCTTCAGAGTATTCGATTGGCTCGGAAAAGCGAAATGACTGCCTGGTCAGATGAATGATGGGTGGTTCATTATCCACTAAAATTTTCTATTGGTATCGATCCTATGAGTAGCATGCTCCGAGCGCACCAAGGAACATCTGTGTGCATTGATTGGCATCAGGCAACACTCGGTGACTGGTCTCTTTCGCTTTACAGCCGATGTACCGGCTCGGAACACTACCTCATCTTATGTTCTCTACCGACGCGTCTGCCGCCTCCAGATGCACTTCTATACTAGCCTGATTGTAATCTGCTATTTGAGCCACAGCATGGCGGAAAGTATAGTCTCTTCCCCGAAAGACCTGGCCTGGGTCGGGTGGGGATGTACCGGCCTGTGGGTCTGTTGTGTCTCTTATTCAGACCTCACACGGCTTGAGTCCCCTTGACTGGTTGGGCCTTGTGGAACCGGCTATCACGACTTGTCATGACCTGCCTCTATGATACACTTTTGCACTGCCCTGTGCCGACAGGCAGTGTTGAACCTACATACCGGCGACTGCGTAAGGTACACAATATCGCTCCCAAAGATATCATCAACAGTCTACATGCCTACTTGTAGCATAGACTGAATACTGTACACGACTACCGCAACCGGCAAAACAATTGCACGGAATTCATCTTGCCGGTCCGAGTAAGTTCGGCTCGGCGATGGGTCCAGTTGCATAGGTTTTCTCGGCACTGTCCCCTTGTTTTTGGAGTCTCCAGATGGAGTAGAGGAGTCCACCTAGTACCCGAAGTGTATGACGAGTCGCATAGGACCGACACAATCTTCGGATCGAATGAGTCTTAGCGAATACATTTGGGCTTGGGAAAACGGCAATAAGAAAATAAATAAACAGGCTCAAGACAAGACAGGCTTGTGATTAGACCTAAAAGGTTATTAGAGAAAGCAAGGGGTTAGCGTTGTAAACAAAGATCCAAGCAATTTCAACTATGAGTTTTGTAACATGAGTTGTTTATGCTGTTCATAATTTGATCTTCCGTAGTATACGATATTGTTATCTTTTCATGGAGAAATCGGTTAAACGTGTTGCATTGGACGACCAGGTGATGTCATGGAAGCATTCATCGAATATCTGTCTGCCTGAGCATGTCGGAACGCCCGGTGAGAGAGACATTCAACTTAGTTGGTGAGAAGAATGGAATCGCATGCAGGCGATCGAAGGATGCAAACAGGCTTTGCCCCCGTGCTTTGCGTCATAACCTGAGGCGGTCTGTTCGGTAAGCCAATTAGCAGTCGTGACTCAGTCCTCTTTAATCGCTCGGAGTTCTACTCTAGGAAATTCCGTTAAGCGCTGAGCCGCCATCTGGCGCCAAAGCGAATCAATGCGCGTGTGTATGGACGGTCTTTGTCCGGACATGATGTTATCCCCATGGTGGCAAATGCCGGTCTTTCCATGCTATGCTTCCAGCAATGTAGGGAGGATATTAGCCTTACAGAACACATGGAATTGCCGTGGTATGGAAAGGCTGCAGGTTGTCATTGAAGGGCTAAATTGCTTATGCACGAATTGCAAGGGACCGAAGGGTGGTGTGGAGTATGAGGAGATTGTGGTTCTCTGCCAGATGGACCCAACCGATCGTAGGGGGTATGTGTGGGGATGGCCGATGAAGTAGCCGCTGAGATTATCGGAGAATTGTGCCATGACGTTGAGGAATATGTCTTTCCTAATGCATCATTTCATTCCACCCATTCGCAACTACTCGCCAGCCTTTGATATAAAGGTCTGGTAACTTCCTTGTTCCTGTGGTTATTTCTCATCTTTTCATCATATAACCACTGGCAATTCAATAGCCATCCTAGTTTTCTCTTTTTACCATATTCATGAACCTTTCTCCATAAGGTATCTCTTTCCCCACAGACCCACATACCTGATTTGTGGCATATATCCAGCCCTGAAGACGGCCATCTCCTAGTCATGGCGTCGAATGACCTTTCTAAGAAGGATTTAGGTCCAAGCCCTGAAAAGTATTCGGATAAGAAAGATGGCTTAGCTTTAGAGGACAAAAGCTCAAGTCCTTCTCGCCAACCTCCTGCGCCTTTCCATGCCGAACATGTCTCTCAGTCGGACCACAGTAGTGAGGAGCATGAGAAGCTCCGTGGGAATGAGAAGCGAGAACTATCAGAGGACGACTGCTACGACAAACTGGGATTCAGCTTTCCGTGGTATAAGAAGTGGGCTATCCTGACGGTTATCTTCACTGTGCAAATGTCCATGAACTTTAACAGCAGTGTGTATCCAAATGCGGTCACGCCCCTGTCGGAGCATTTTCACGTTAGTGAGCAAGCCGCTCGAGTTGGCCAGATGATCTTCTTGGTGGCCTATGCGTTTGGATGTGAGCTGTGGGCACCCTGGAGTGAAGAGCTCGGCCGATGGCCCATCATGCAGCTCAGTTTGTTCCTGGTCAATATTTGGCAGATCCCCTGTGCTTTGGCTCCCAACTTCGGCACCATTATCGTCTGCCGCTTCCTCGGTGGCCTGAGCTCAGCGGGCGGCTCAGTAACTCTGGGTATGACTGCAGACATGTGGGAACCTGATGACCAAGGCTTTGCGGTTGCCTATGTGGTATTGTCTTCTGTCGGTGGTACCACAATCGGTCCTATCTTCGGTGGAATGGTCCAGCAGTGGCTGAAATGGAAGTGGAATTTCTGGATCCAGCTTATCTTTGGTGGCGTTACGCAATTAGTCCACTTCTTTTTCGTCTCTGAGACTCGCGCGACTATTCTTATCGATCGGGAGGCGAAGCGCCGTCGCAAGACGGGTGAGGATCCGAATGTTTATGGACCGAACGAGCTGAAGAAACCCCGATTTGAAGCTAAAGATGTTTTGCGTGTGTGGTGCCGACCTTTTGAGATGTTCCTGAGGGAACCTATTGTGCTCTTCCTTTCTCTGCTATCTGGTTTCTCTGACGCTCTGATCTTCACCTGCATCGAGTCATTCAACCTTGTGTTCAAACAGTGGGGGTTTAATCCTCTCCAGATTGGACTCTGCTTCATCTCCATCGTGATCGGTTATGTTGTCGCATATGGCATCTTTCTCCCCGACATTTGGCGCCAGCGTCAAATTAGAAAGAGTCATGGCAATACAGCTCGGTTACCTGAACGTCGCTTGCTTCTCCTTCTCTTCATTGCACCTCTGGAGACGATCGGTCTGTTTGGATTTGCCTGGACATCAATGGGTCCGGACTATACCCACTGGATTGTGCCCCTTGTGTTTGTTTTCTTGATTGCTATTGCGAATTACGGGATCTACATGGCAACCATCGACTACATGGTTGCCGCCTATGGACCGTACTCTGCTTCCGCCACCGGAGGCAACGGTTTTGCTCGCGATCTTCTTGCAGGGCTGTCAGCCATGTACGCAACTCCAATGTACAGTAACATCGGTGGCAAGTTTCACCTGCAGTGGGCGAGTACCATTCTCGCCTGTCTGGCTATTCTAGTGACCATTCCTATCTATATATTTTATTGGAAGGGCCCTGAAATCCGGGCCAGCAGCAAATTTGCTCAGACTCTGGAGGCAGACCGTGCACAGCATGCAGGACGCCGGGCCAGTCGCCTCAGTGCGGAGGAGAAGCCTTACATGGCCTGAAAGTCTTGCATTATGACTGTCCTGATTTCCAATGAATTTCATGCTCAGCTTGTATATAGGCCCTCACGTTTATAGAAGTAATGAATGATAATCAATATTCTTTTATTTTCTTTTATATATATTTTTTTTTTATTTTGGAAAACAAATACTTGCGAGCAAAGCGGCAAATAGTTCGCTATCTCTCCGTCTTTAGCATTAAGATATCAATCAGAATGGGAATCTAAAACCACGTCGCCTCAACTTGAGAGCCAATTTTATCACTTTAATCCAATCAGTAAGCGATTTGCTTTAGAAGGCTATGTTTAAAATGACTAGAATCAGCCAGCGAAGTTACCCCGCAGAGGCTCAGCCTTGCAATGCGTCGCCTGACCTGGAAAAATCATACAAAACACAAGCAACGAAATGTTCTCTAAAGGTAACCTGAAATATATATGGAAATAGGTTTCTGTCATTCTGTCCAGATCCGCAGTGCTTTCGAAACGAAGACAATCTTCCTTTTATAAAGTATTTACCGATCAGAACGTTTGCAACATAGTGACGAGCGCAACCATGCATGCTGAAGCAAATCAGACTCAGAGGTGCTCAAGCCCAGAAGCGAAGCCTGGCGCGTTCCTCACCCCACCTACTTCGCCGGCCACCTCCAGGGTAGTTCGACCAGAGCGTCAAGAGAAAACCCCTTCACTAGCTCGGAGTGACCTCGTGCCCAGAACTCCTCCAGCAAGTCCCCAGAAGGGACAAAGCTCAGAGGGCGACGAAAAAAATAGAGCAAACCAGCATTGGAGTTCAATACTTGAATCTTTGAAAGATCGGTGGGGTGTTCACAAAGGACAATGTGGTGCTCTAACGAAGATGAATATGCCTTGCGGACAAGGTGTGCGATCGAGGAAGTTTCAGCTCAATAAATTGATTTCCTCCATGGCCAATATGCCCGCGGATCCGGATAATAAATTGAATGAGCTGGTTTCTCTCACTCTTTGCAAGGCACATCAAAAGCAAACCAGCTCTAGACTTGGAGAAATGTTGGATTCTTGCCCCACAGGATCGGGTATGGAACAAACAAGATGGTTTATTGCCACGCGCATCAAGAACATTGTCCCTAAGGCCTGCACCGAGTGTCTTGCAGATGGGCATGTCCATGATTCTCGCGATAGTAAGATAGGAGGTCGGAATGTCCAGATTATACAAGAGATACTGTGGAAGGTAACCACACCTTATATATATTCCGATGATACAAGACTTCAGGCGCACCTTGAAGTACTAGGGCAATGTGTCTTCTGCCCTCTTCATAGAGACAAGGAAAAGCCAACAAGCGTCAGAGAATGGATGTCCAACATTCAGGCTATCCACCCTCCTATCAAACTAGCACAGTCAATATCAACAGCCCCAGCCGCAGCTAAGATTGCCTCTCCCAAGCAGCTTATTCGAGATGACATCCCCACCCTTGCAAGCATTGAGCAGATAGGTGATAAAAACCTGCTAATTTCTCCAAGAAGGCATCTGGCTAACCAGTCTGGCACGCAGGGTATGACACCTCTCCATTCACGGTTGTCGAACGATATAGTCCGAATTTTGTCAAATGTACACAGGCAGCGTTGAAGTCCAGGTCAGGATCACCGGAGGGATATGTCTATGCATATAAAGTCAAGGGAAACTCAGGCTTTGTGAAGATCGGTTACACGGGCTTCACGAGTCAGACAAGATTCGAAGATATTGCCTTCACGTGCAACAGGAAACCGATGGAACTTTACCCTACGTCAACAGACACAGACAATAAAATAAAAAACCCTAAAGTAGTCGAGGCTTTGTGCCACGCGCAGCTGCGAGAGCACCAGGTGACAATAGACTGCGATGCCTGCTTGTCGAACCACAGAGAATGGTTTTGTGTCGCCCCCGAGGATGCAATTGGCGCTATCCAGAAGTGGTCGAGTTGGATGGAGAAATTCACAGCTGAGCCGAACTGGAGGCAAAAGTTAGACGATAAAATAGAGAAGATGAAGGATCTGGGGCGGCTATTGAAGGAGCTGGAAGGAGAAACTCTATGAGCAGTTTCTACCCCTTGCAGACCTGGCTGTCGGCGTCGTTCGCTGCCTAGTTCGTAGGGGCTTGTAAAGCAGACTTTTATGGTTTGGATATCCATAAATTGATAAATCATATCCCACTTTCCGCATCGTACATCCATCTATTTATGTGTGGACATACGTTCGAATTCGGGTCCTGAAATTGCCGAGTATCTGCACGTTTTAAGTTATAATATTTGTGTTGATATGGTTCCATTTCTACATCCTCTTTCTACATCTTCATTCTGACTTAGTTCTTCACAAATGCTGGATAAGACTTCTAGCCTTGACAGATTATGATACTATCCTTTGAATAATCCCTGAGTATACTGTTCCTAGAAGATACCACCACTTTTGTGTCTAATGAGCTTTATATATGGGTTTACTTCGCCTCGTTATACGTTGTAACTTGTCTTTAACCTTATATTAAAGGGCCTCTTTTAAGACTTTGTGAATACTACGAGGTGTCTCATCTACCTTGAAATACTATTAATCATACAGTAGAAATCAAGTATACCCAGGTCCCTATTTAATTCTGACAAAGAACACGATAGGTCTTGTTTCATACAAATGTACCCATATACCGTACGGGCAAACCCTCATACTACCCCAAAACACCGACTACGACGCACAGCTAAAATACAAAAACATCCATAGCAGTTGTTAATACTGCCTGGGTACGAATGAGGTTCACTTTCAATGATTGGAACATGCAGACATAGTGATACGGCATCCGGAATCCGTGGCCTGGGAAGACGTGCAATATCCGGGCTCTGGCTGCACATGGTGTCGGGTCTTATAAGTTCTTGTCATATTGACGTTGAATGTAATTCATTAAGGTGGGGAGCAAACTTTAATTGCGTTTACCGTGGTGAATATGGCAGGCTGCGCGTGTCAAAATGATAAATAGTGCCAGTGAATGGATACCTTCGAAGGATGTACAATGTACTCGAAGACTGGTACTCAGTCTGACTTGTCTCTTACTACTAGCTGATATAATCATAGGTCAAGTAATTGTCATAAGCTGGTTACTATGGGCTAACTTAGCAGAGAGAAAAAATAGCTTAAGTTTGATAGGGGCCACAGATTAACGTCCCATTTCAGTATCACTAAAATGTAGATAAACAAGAAAAGAAATGAAATTTAAAGAAGAGAAATTGAAGTCGAACGGACAATGCAGGCCGGTTAATGAAAAAAAAAAA